GGGGGAAGGGCATGGAGGAGGGGGCAAGGGAGAGGGCAGGCCATGGGGGAGGGGATAGGAGAAGTTAGGGAAGGGAAGAGGGGGTTTGGCAACGGGCAGGGAGTCTGGATGTGGGAAGGAGGTCAAGCACTAGAGAGTGTCAGATTGGGAAAAGGATGGGGGGGAGTCAGAGGAAGTGGGGGGTAAGGGGTTGAGGAGGAAGGGAGAGCATTAGGGCTTGGGGTCAGGGGTCAGGGCATGGAGGAGGGTATCAGAGAGTGGGTAGGACATGGGGAGGGGTCAGGGGAGTTGAGGGGTTAGGATAGGAAAAGTGCATCAGGGCCACAGAAAGGGAGCAGAGGAGCAGAGGGATGAGGGCGAGCAGTCTGAGCCAGGTAACAGGGGAGAGGGATGGAGAGAGCCAGTGGGCGCTGGGCAGGGTGGAGGTGTGGAGGTGGGGAGAGGATAGTAAGACCAGCGATGGGGTCTTTTGGGGGTGGGACAGCTGTGGGGGTGATCTGGCATGCTGAGTTCCCAGGAGAGAGGAGTCATGGGGTTGGGAGGCCTCTGAGTAAAGGCAGAGGGAGGGTCCCAGCGGCCCAGGGTTACCCCGACACCTCCACCCCCCTCCACTTCCTCCCTGGCAGAGAAACTATTTCCTGGCCAGCGCTATTTCTGCCCATCCGTTTCCAGAAGGCGGGAGCTCTAGTCACCCCCTCCTCACCTCCCTGCAGTGCCCTCCCAGTCCCCAGGGAGCCCAGGCTGAAATAGCCTCTGGCCGGGATGTGGAGGGCACAGGAGGACGCAGAAAGGGCTCTCCTGAGGTCCCAGTGGGCTGCCCGTGGAGGGAGGGCTAGGAGGGGGGATGGGGGGAGATAGAGACAGGGTGAGGATGGAATTGAGTGAATGGGGGGAGTAGGACAGGGCTGGGGATGCGGATGGAGTTGCAGGGATGGGACTGGAGATGAGAGTGGGGATGAAGGTGGGCGCGGGGATGAGGGAGTTGAGGATTAGCGTGAGGTTGGGGTTGAAATCTGTAGAGGAGGATGGGAAAGGAATTGAGCATGGCATCTGGGGCTGGGGTGGGGATGGGGTTGGAGATGTGTGTGGAGATGACAGGTGAAAGTTGAGGACAGGAAGAAGGGAGAGATGGATAAGAGTTTGAAGATGACGTTTGGACGTGAGTTGGGGTTGGGAATGTGGATGGAGTTGAAGATGGAGGTTGGGAATGGGAGGTTAGGACTGGGACTCAGGATGAGAGTGAGGATGGGATTAAGAATGAAGGAGGGGCCAGCCTGGTGGCGAAAGCGGTTAAGTGCGCGCTCCACTGCCGCGGCCCGGGGTTCGCCAGTTCAGATCCCGGGCGCACACCGACGCACCACTTGACAAGCCATGCTGTGGCGGTGTTCCATATAAAGTGGAGGAAGATGGGCACGGATGTTAGCCCAGGGCCAGTCTTCCTCAGCAAAAAAAAAAAAAAAGAATGAAGGAGGAGGTTGAGTGTGGGGTTGGGATTGACACTGGGGGCTGTGGAGGGGCTAGGAATGGAACTAGGGCTGAATGAGGAAGTTGAG